ACAATGTAATTAAAAATATATATTTCTTTGGTCCCAGTCATATAGAGCTCATTTAATCCTAGTCCTTAACCCAGGATATGAGCAGAAAAGCCCATTGTCTAGATTAAAACCCTTTTATTCTCACAAAATCTATACTGTTTTATGTGTAGCTGTTTTTATTCCTTAATTTTTTAATTTAAATATAGTATTCGAATTGACTCCATGGCAATGAGTTTTTTGTTTGTTTGTTTGTTAAACATATACTAAAGTGCATAAATCTTAACTAGATAGCTTGATGTGTTTTTATTATTTATCCTTATATAAGCATCACCAAGATCAATATAGAACATTTCCAGCATCTCTTTTTCCCTTCTCTGTCAATACTTCCAAAGGTAACCATTCATCTCATCTTTATCACCATGGTTAGTTTTGCCTCTTCTTTTACTACATCTAAATGGAATCATGGATTTGTATGTACTCTTTGTGTGTCTGGCTTCTTTCACTCAACAGTGAGATTCGTCTATGTTATTGCTTGGAGCAGTGGCTCGTTTGTCTTCTGCTGTCTCTCTGAACTTTGTTTCTCTGCACAGACCTGGGATAAATGCCTTTATGAGAAGCAGACTAGCACAGAAAGGGGACTTGCCCTTTTATCACTAGAAGAGTGTCTTTTCCTTATAAAAGCCACCCCTTTGGTTCTATGCGAAGCTCACCTGGGTGTTACTCTCCCAGACACCAAGTGCTTTAAAAGGAATCTTGTGGGGACTTTAATGTTTGCCTTCGAGGCTCTCAGAATAAGAGAATTTTCTTGAGTACTCTCATTTGGAGCTGGTAGAAGAAGGGAGTAAGAGGGATGCTTTCTGGAAGGACATTTTTAGGAAAAAGGGGAAACAAACAAACAAACAAAAGAAGTAAAGGCTTCTTTAGGAATTGGAGCTTGGAAGCCAGCCTTTGGAGCAGAAGTTATACATGATTCCTGGGGCCCCCTCCCCTTGTAGCAGCCTACAGTCAAAGCTCAAAGGCATAAAACATAGCAACTCTGTCTCTAGAGACTAGAGAAACCAATTTTCATTCACGCTGCTACTAGAAGCCTTCCCCCACCCAGGTATGTGGGTGGGGGGATTTTCCTATCAAAGCTGGTAGGGCTTTCATGATGAAAATGCTCACCCCCATGACAAACCTGAGAGCAGGGAGTAAAGCCGATACTCTTTAATGGCATCTTAAATGAAGATGAAAGGGATGAGTTATTCTTGCAAGTGTGGTCATGTAGGTAAGTCGGGGATCAGATAGAAAAATGGAAAATATGCAGTTAGCTCCAGTGGCTGGTTGGTGTCTTCTTTCCTTTAGATATCTGCTGGTTCTGTGCCTCGTGTTTGCTAGAGTGATGTACTGAAATATTCTGCTGAGACTTAATCAGTGGTTTTTGCTTGGCAGCTAGGACACACTGCAAAGGGACTGATTTGGAAAGTTGGGTCATCCTCAGGCACTTTTCTTCAAGTTTAACATCCTTCCATGTTTGTGTCTGTGGCCATAGGCAATTACGTGAATGAACCACTTAAATCTATTGCCTCTAATGTTAGATGATGAACCTTGAATTTAGCAATATTTATTGCTACAAAATTTAAATATTTTGTTAAGTTTACTGAATAATTCTTATATCATGACCCTTGCTGGGGACTTTGCGTATATTTTGTCAATTGTTTCTCACAAACTTGGGGAAGTAGATACCAAAGAAAAACCAGACTCACTGCTGTCCAGTTGATTCGACTCATAGTAATACTGCCTTTCCAAGGCAGTTATCTCTATGGAAGTAGATTGCCCAATCTTTCTTCCGAGGAGTGGCTGGTGGGTTTGAACTGCCAGCCTCCTGGTTAGCAGTCAAATGCCTTAGGCACTATGCCACCAGAGGATTATTCATATTTTATAAGTGAGTAAGTTGAGAAAATGTAAGTAAACTGCTAGTAAGTAATACCTAGTAAGAAGGTAGAGTTGAGGTTTAAAACTAGGTTTGTTGCATTCCAAATGCTATGTATCTTGTGCTGCACCATACTTGCTTGTTGCTGTTCTTGTCAGTTGCCATGGAGTCGGCTCCTATCCCACGGCAACCTTATGAACAACAAAATGAAACTTTGCCTTGCCCTGCACCATCTTCACGATTATTAATGTGTTTGAGTCCTTTGTTGTGGCTATGTCAGGCCATTTCATTGAGGGCGTCTTTCACTTTTGCTGACCCTCTGAGTTACCAGACATGATGTCCTCTCCTAGTAATTGGCATTTCCTGATGACATGTCCAAGGTAAACAAGTCTAAGTCTCGCCATTCTCACTTCTAAGGAACATTTTGGTTGTATTTCTTCCAAGATTGATTTGTTCATTATTTGGCAGTCCACACTATTTTCAATATTCTTTGTGACTCTAAAATGACTTTAGTGTACAAATATTTCTTAAAGAAGCCTTAATTATCAAGTATGAATCAAGAGAAACAAATAATTTTGAAACTTTCAAAACAAATTTAAAAGATGTAAATTCTTTATTGTTCCTATTCAATCTACATTTTCCAGTGTTTTTCCCAGTCCTTCATTCCCATCAAAAAAAGTTATATGTTCTTAAATAATTCATATTGAAGCTTAGAATCCTTAAGGGTCTGGCAAGCTTTATTCTTGGATAAGCTGATACAAAATATTGCCAGTAGCCAACCTCAAGTTGCCAACCCAAATATAAATCCCTCCTTGTTCAATATATGAATTTATAATATAAACTGTTGTAAGTTATATCTAGTACTGAATAGAATTAAAGCACTGTTGAGCAACCCTTGAACATAAGAAATAAGATTGTATTATGGTCTGATTTTTTAAGTGTGTACCATATAAAGAACATTTTATTCCATCATTTTAGACCTAACAAAGAGAAAACTGGGTGTGTGACTGATTCAGGAGCATCTGTTATCAAACATGGACTCAATCCAGAGAAGACTTTCATGCAGGTTCATTATTTAAAGGTAAGCATATCAAAGTGGCAGAAGTTAACATGGTGCAGCCCTTTTTAGGTTATAAGTATAAGCAATTAAGATCAGTAACATGGCTGAGGCAATGGAAAAAAATCATCAACATTCTAATAACATTTCAATGGGCAGTTATCTAATCGTCCAATAACTGCAGCACTTCATACAAAGAAATAAGCCAACCTCCAAAGGTGTGAATCAAAGGAAGCCAATCTATTTCCTGCCCTGTACTTTCCTTCCCCTGCTTCATGCCATCTTTCAGGAGCAGAACCTAAAAATCACTATAAGGGTCCAACTGGAGTCTTTAAGTGTACAATTGCTTAATGCACTCAACTGCTAACCAAAAGACTGGAGATTTGAGTCCATCCAGAGGGTCCTTGGAGGAAAGGCCTAGTGGTCTACTTCCAAAAACATCACTCATTGTAAATTTTATGGAGCACTGTTCTATTCTGACATACATGGGGTTTCGATGACTTGAAAATGACTCAACATCAACTGTTTTGTTTTTTCAAAAGATCCAACTAGAAGGCAGGAGTAATCAGGAAGCATTAAAAGTAGCAAAGATCTTTATGATAGCCAATGTGGAGAGAATCTGGGCCCCTCTTCCTTTTCTGTCCCTGATGGGTGATCAGACTTCATACATCACAGAAAACCAGCGATGGTGCTGACATTAACAAATGAATTGAAAGCAAAGTAGTCAATCCTTACTTTCCAGACCCAACTTTGCTATTAAGAATATAATGGGCATTCTGGTGCAGGTGAGATGGGACATTTTACAAGCGAATCATGCATAGTAGGTAAGGTAGAGTTTACTGTGTAAGCATTTTTTCCGACGAACCCATGATAGATGTCTTTTCTTCTTTCTTCTAGGGCTATTTCCTTCTTCGGTTTCTTGCCAAAAGATTTGGAGATGAAAACTATTTTTCATTTTTAAGAAAATTTGTGCACAAATTTCATGGACAATTGATTCTTTCCCAGGTAATCTATGGATTCTCATAGTTTCATGATGTGAAATTTGAGGGGGCATGACATGTGGATGTTAGATTATGAGAGGATTTAAAAGTAAGGTACATAATTCATTCTATGAAGCAAATATAACCCTGATACCCAGACCAGATAAAGACACTACAAGAAAAGAAAACTGTAGGCCAATATCTCTAATGAATATAGATGCAAAAGTCTTCCACAAAATTCTAGTGAACAGAATACAACAGCATATTAAAAGAGACATACACCATGACCAACCAAAACCAAAACCAATACCAAACTCACTTCCATCGAGTTGGATCTGACTCATAGCGACCCCTCCTTATGTTTCCAAGGCAGTATCACTGCAGAAGTAGATTGCCCAACCTTCCTTCCGAGGAGTGGCTAGTGGGTTTGAACCACCAGCCTTCTGGTTAGCAGGGAAGTGCTTTAGGCACTATGGATTTATTCCAAGAAAGCAGGGGTGACTCAACATTAGAAAATCAATCAACGTAATACATCACATCAGTAGAACAAAGGAAAAGAACCACATGATCTATGAATGCAGAAAAAGCATTTGGTAAAATCCCACACCCTTTGTTAATAAAAACTCTACAAGAGATTAGCATAGAAAGGAAATTCCTTGATATGATTTAGGGTATATGTGAAAAACCAACAGCCAACAATATACTTAAGGGAGAAAGACTGAATGAAAGATTTGTCCTTGAAATTAGGAACAAGATAAGGGTGCCTGCTCTCATCACTTCTATTCAATATTGGTTCAAAATCCTAGCCAGAACTATAAGGCAAGAAAAAGAAACAAAAGATATCCATATTAGGAAAGAGGAAGTAAAATTCTCTCTTTTCATGGATCATATGATCCTATATGTACAAAATTTCAAAGAGTCCACAAGGAAACTTCTAGAGCTCATACAGGAATGTAGCAAAGTTGCAAGGACAACAAACAAAAATCAGTTGGGTTTCTATACATCAGCAATGAGAAATCTGAAAGGGAAATTAGGAAAACGAAAAACAGTTCAATTTACAATAGCATCTAAGAGAATAAAATAACTAAGAGTAAATCTAACCAGGGACATGAATAATTTACATAATGAAAACTATAAAACACCGCTGGAATAGATTATAGAAGACTTAAATAAATGGAAATACAGTTCATGTCCAAGGATTAGAAACCTTAATATTGTTAAGATATCAGTACTCCCTAAAGCATTCTATAGATTCAATGCAATCCTGATTAAAATTCCAACAGCCTTCTTTACAGAAATAGAAAAAATAAATCTTCAACTTTCTGTAGAAGAACAAGAGGCCACAAATGAAGTGATATGATATTGAAATAGAAAAACAAAGTAGGAAAACATATACTTCCTGATTTTAAACCATACTAGAGCTCTGGTGGTGTAGTGCCTAAGGCATTTGACTGCTAACCAGAAGGCTGGTAGTTCAAACCCACCAGCCATTCCTCAGAAGGAAGGTTGGGCAATCTACTTCCATAAAGATACTGCCTAGGAAACCCAAGGAGGGGTCACTATGAGTCAGATACAACTCGACAGCAGTGTGCTGCATTTTTTGCATTATACAGCTATAGTAATCAAAACAGCCTGGTACTGATGTAACAATGGGCACATAGACCAATGGAGTAGAACTGAGAGTCCAGAAATAAACCCACACATCTATAGTCAACTGATTTTTGACAAGAGTGCTAAGTCCATTTGATGGGGAAAGAAATCTCTTTAATCAATGTTGGTGGGAAAATTGGATTTCCACATGCAGAAAAATGAAACAAGATCCATGCCTCACACCATACACAAAAACAGATTGAAAATGGATTAAGGACCTAAATGTGCAAATTAAAATCACAGAATTCTTACAAGAAAAAGCAAGGGCAATGCTCATAGGCCTAGCTTTTAATGGGTTTCTGAGGTGGTATCTCTACAGAAGTAGATTGCCCGATCTTCCTTCTAAGGAGTGGCTGGTGGGTTTGAACCACCAGCCTTCTAATTAACAGTCAAATGCCTTAGGCACTATGCAACCGGAGCTCCTAATAACAGATTATATGATATAATAACAAAAGTACGAACAGCAAATGGCAAAGTAAATAAATGGGACCTCATAAAAATTAAAAACTTATGTTCATCAAAAGATTTCACCAAAAAAGTGGAAAGATAAGCTTCCAACTAGGAGAAAATCTTTGGAAACCATTTATCCAACAAGAATCTAATAGCCAAAGTATATATCAAACAACTAATTGACAGCAAAAAGGTAAATAATCTGATCATAAAATGGGCAAAGGACCTGAATAGACATTTCTATGAAGAGAATATTCAAATGACCACCAAATATGAAAAAATGCTCAATGCCATTAGCCATCATAGAGATATAAATCAAAACCACAATGAGATACCATTCCACTCCCACTAAGATTTAAAAAAAAAAAAATGTTGGCAAAGATGTTGGGAAATTGGACCTCTTATGCATTGCTGGTAGAAAAGCAAAATGGTATAACCATTGTGGAAAACAGTGTGAAGTTTTCTGAAAAACTAAAAATAGAACTACTATATACCTAGCAATTCCACTCCTAGGTACATACTGAAAAGACTTGAAAGCAGATTCAAGCAGAGACTTGTACTCTAGTATTCACTGCAGCACTGTTCATAATTGCCAAAAGTACGGAAACAACCTAAATGCCTATCAACAGATGAATGGATAAACAAAATGCGGTACATATATGCAATAGAATACTATTCAGCTGGTAGGAGAAATGAAGTCTTCATACATGCTACAGCATGGATAGAGCTGGTTATGCTGAGCAAAATAAGCTAATCACAAAAGGACAAATATTGTATGATTTCACTTATATGAAAACACAAGAACAGGCAAATAAATGTATAGAGACCAGCATTTATTAGTGGTTACCAGGAGTGGGAGGGAGGGGGGAAAAGGAAGGTTAATGGTGATGGAGAAATCACATTAAGAATAAGGTTGCACACTCAGGGATCTACGTAGCAGATCCTGGATAGAGTGGGAGAACAATGTGGAATAAAATTCAAAATCATTAAAAAAAAAAAAAAAAAAAAACGGGACCAGGTTTGTTGGTCTGATAGAGCCTGGTGGAACCCCTGACACTATGGCCACTAGCTGCCCTTCAGGTCTGGAATTGAACCCACTCTTGTGGCTTCCAGTCAAACAAAAGACAGGCATATGAGGTGAATATTTATGTTAGGTAGATATACGCCTTGGAGAGATCAATCATGGGAGAATAGAAGGGCTGTGTGAGCACAGGGAGACAGCTAGGGGGAAGGAATCCATGGGAGGAAAGGATACATGGAAGAGGTGTCTATGGGGAGGAAGTGGGAGGAGAGCTGTTGCAGTGTGGGAGACTACGGTCAATGTCATGAGACAAAGTATATGTGAACTGCTGTATGGAAGATGAACTTGCTCTATAAACTTTCACCCAAATCTCAATAAAATTAAAAAAAAGAATAAGGTTGATTATTGTAATTGCTGTCAATAAGTTGTACATTCATAAAAAGTTGAATTGACAAAAGTTATGTGATATATTCACATCAACAACAACAAAAAAAGAAAGCTTAGCTGCTGAGGCTGGCTATGTATAACCAAAAACCTTGTGGGATTTGGTTCCTTGGTTTGGAGGTTTAGGGTCATGGTTTCTTGGGACATACTAGTTGATTGACCTAAAAATGTGTTTAGTGCTTCTGTTCTACCTCCTGTTAGTTGCATAGTGCCTGGGGTTAAAAGCTTGTAAGTGGCCATCAAAGGCACAATTAGTCACTACTCACCCTGGAGCAACAGAGGAATAGAAAAAGCCAGGAACAGGATGAGGATATGAAATAATTGCCTCCATGAACAACTGCCTCTATTGCCACGAGACCAGAAGAACTGGATTGTGCCCTCCCACCATTACTGAACATATGAGCAAAGATTCTACTGCAGAATCCTGATCAAAAGGAGGAAAATGCAGAACAGAATTGCAAATTATCATGGACTCCAGACATACTGGAGCCATGGAGGCTGGATGAAACCCTGAAACCATGGCTCTGAGATAATCTTTAAACTTTAAGCCAAAAATATCCAGTAAAGTCTTCTTAAAACCAAACAATAGTTTAGCTTAACTAGTAAAAAAAAAAATTGAGCATTGACCATTATGCTCTTTTAAGAACTATCTATCTGGGATCAAATTGATAACAGCAACTCAAAAATTTAGATAGGAACTTTAGAGGGTAGTGAATTTATGTTAATGAGGAACAACTCAAAAAAGAGGGTGAGAATGGTTTCATAACTCAAAGAATGTAATCAGTGTCGCTCTGGTAGCATAGTGGCTAAGGCACTTGCCTGCTAACCAGAAGGCTGGCGGTTCAAACCCACCAGCCACTCCTCGGAAGGAAGGTTGGGCATTCCTACTTCCGTAGTGATACTGCCTTGGAAACCC